CATCCTCTCTACCTTTTGATTCATTGCTTCAGAGTTATGCTGTTGTAAGAGAATGGCTATTGGTATGAGATAGGTAGCAGCTACATAGTTAAAAACAGTGTGTAGAGAAACAAAGACCTTGGTAAGAGTCCCAGGGCTACTATTTGTAAGCTTTTATAAGCTGTGGGGCCTTGGATAAATTACTTGACCCTTTTAAGTCTTAGTTTTATCATCAGTAAAATGAGGTTAACCCACTTATATCAGAAGTTAATTGTTAGCATATAATACGACACATAAAAAATGCTTAGTGCAAGGCCCAGTTAACTAACTGCTACTTGTTATTGTTCTTCTTAATGTTCTTGTTGTTATTATTCCTAGCATGCCTGATTACAGCTTCCCTCCTTCTTGATTATCATAATAAATTTATGTTTAAGATACCTGGATTCCATGCCAACTCAATTCTGTGTAAACAACAACAAAACAAAACAGATTTTCTAAAAAGTCCCTTTAATTCTTTCTTAACGTTCTAATAATATTCATGCTAGTAGTTAAGCAGAACCCAGAGCAACTTTGCAAACAGTCCAGAGACACATTATGACATGACACCTAAATATACAACCCAAAATGGATAAAGCACTCAAAGCAAATTTCAAAGAAATGAAAGAGAATCTCATAATGAATTGCTTCTCTCCACTCTCAGCTGTTAAAGCAGATATTATCACACTAAACACAAGCTATCTTTCAGAGCTAAGATGATGACATACACCACAAAGCAGATTTTCATTCCATTTAAGTAAAAACCTTTCAATAATATGATCCATGGCCCATCTTTCACAGTTCTGACTGAATTATCAGAAAACACAGTTTCTTAAAAAAAAAAAAGAAAAAAAGAAAACACAGTTTCTGTGCAAAAGCAGCACTTTCGCCTTTACAACTTAGTAATTTACTAATGGTTTTATATTTAAAAATATAGCTTTTGCTACAATTTTACTTCTGATAAATAGTTTCAAGAGGTTTAGCAAAGAAAACAGTAACAAGGCCTAATTAAGTATAGTTACTTATAAATTGCCAGGGAAAGAGAAAGACCAGAATGGTCTCAGAAGAAAATGATACTTAATGACTACAATGAAGACTCATGAAGAGAAACAAAGCTATGGACTGGGTGATCCAAAGCAGTTATGCAAGGGCTCCTGAAGTCCCCAGAGCAAGTGGCTAAGTTCCAGCAAGCGGGCAGCTGAGTTCCACTCCCAGTGATGCCATAAACTGTACTGCCTTTATTTTTTCTTTTGCTTTTTTTTTTTGGCTATAAACTAGTTAAAATTCTATAGTTCAGTTTCTAAATCTTTAGGACAAAGATATTTACTTGAGTCACAGTAGAAATTACACAGATTTCAGAATTTGGTAGGTGAAAAATGAGTGAAGGACAGGTGTTATAGCATGGAGGAAAAACAGGTGGGAATAAATGAATAGCTGAGACCTACAATACAAAGACTGAGTGCATATTAGATGCTATGGTGTGAGGCTGTTAATTTTAAACACCAAGAACAAACAACTACTTTCAAACAGAATCATTAAGACTAATGATTATATATATTCACTTATATATAACTTATATACTAACTATCTTATCCTCTTAAACCAAAAATATAATCATGAAATACAATTATTTTAAACATGCCAAAAGATTTCTAAGCTCATAAAAGCTTCTAAAAGTGATACATATTTTAAAAAATATAATATGTGTCACAATATGTATCAAATACAGAATTATGTTATAGATTTTATGGAGTTTTCTTTTCATATGTAAAAGTCTTTCAGGCACATTCCTCATTCATAATTTTGTGTTAAGAAAAAAGTATGATTTCAAAACCAATAATGTGTTCAGGTAATGCAATTAAAATAAAATAAACTGTGCAGGATTAAGAATATATTTACTTTTTAAGGTAAAATTTTAGTAACCATTGGAAAAATAAGTGAACAAGAAGGAAGCCTTATCATCAAGCACGGAACCCGACAGGTCAGCAGGGAAAAACGACAAATTAAAATTCCATTTTTCAGACAGGAAAGGATCATTTTATTCTCACATCTTACTTATACACACAGAGCCAGAGGATCTCTCTGATCACTTGGTATTAACCCCCATTCTCACTCCCTCATTTTTCAGTATAGGGAAGTGCAATCCAAACTGGTGACTGGTGATCCCCAAATGGACTAGGTAATGCTAGACTCAGGACTCAAATGCAAGTATCCCAACTTGTTATAGCACAACACTCTTTCCACCAAACATTATGCCAAATGTTAAAACTTGCCATTTAAAAAAGATATTCCATATGCCTTCTGGGTAGAAATCCAGTCCATTGCAGCTTGGTAAATAACTGATTTGAGCACCTGTATTGTATCTTATGTATGCTATTGTAATAAACATACTAAGTGCTCACAAACATGAAATATTCACTAATTTAATAAACAAATACTTATATGTGTTTAAATAATAACTTTACTGATGAAAATACCAAGAAACGAATCATATTTGTGCCAGGTAGCATTTACATTAAAGGTGAATAGAGAGAAGACTATTTTGGTTACTTCTTTGTGCTCTTTTTAGTCTACATAATATTTTCAACCTCCAATATAGAAGGTATGCCATGGGCCACCTTGTGCAGTATATACTTATTTTATATAAAACAACAAGCTTTGACTTGTTTTAAAAAGACCTTATACCTATTTTAGTTATAGAGAACTGGTTCAAAACCAGTAGCATGGAAAGTTCTTGCGATTTCTCTCACAATTGTGTCAGCCCCAAACTGCTCTGTTCAACCTTGCTGTGAGACAATCAAAGTGATAGTTTTAAAATCATATGCTATGTTTTAACAATGGTACAAAGAAAATGATTTACATAAAATCTCAAAAATAAGTGAAAATGAAATAGTATAGAACAATCTACAGTATACTACCTTTCATGTGACAAAAGGAGAAAGCAAGAATATGTATTTCTATTTACTAGTCTTTGCATAAAGAAACTATAAGGATACATTAATAATTAATAAAAAGTTACCTCTGGGGTGGAGGGATGAATAAAAATGACAGGTATGGGCAGAAGCAAGACTTCTGAATGTTAACTTTTTTATCCCTCTTGATTTTGGAAAAATGTAAAGATATTATTCATTTCAAAAATTTTAATGTAAAAAAATTGGGGCACAAAAAGCTTCTGTGCAGTGACAGGATGTCCATAGTTAACTATGATTTAACTATAATAATCTTCCTGAGGATAGAGGAACCCATGTATTTTAAATATTCCATCTTCACTGCCTAAGGCAGAGCCTAGCACACAAACACTGTGTAACAAATATACAACAGTCAATTTGAAATTAAGTTCCTAAATTTTTCAGAAACAATATTCTACAACCTGGATACAGTAGTAACTTCCACACATTGGGAAAAGGGGTGAAAGGGAAGATAAGAAAGGGGAAGCAGGTTGGGGGGGGATGGGGGGCTTTATTTTATGTAAATTTTCTGTATTTCTTTTACTGCTGGCTACAATTTAAAGGTAAAATGTTCTTATGTTGGATACATACTCTAAGAAGACTATAAGCAGAAACATGGCAAGCTGCTGACACTTAAAAATAATTTTAGTAACAAATTATTAACACCAAATTTCCATTTAAAGTACTGTACTAAAAGCAGCAATACAGGAAATGTTTAGTTCTCTCAATAACATAAATATCCCAAAACTGTAACCAGTATATTTCACGGTCATTTGTTCTCCATATTTCTGGAACATTTTTCCCACCATTCGTTTCCATCCTTGAAAGTTATCTTCAATATCTACGTTTTCTTATTTATTAAATGCTACTGGGAAGCTGTATCATATCTTAAAGAAATGAGAATTGCTGCTCTATTAAAAAAAAAAGTTTACTGGGTTATTAAATAGTAACAAGGTCAAACAGGAGTCAAAAACTATGAGAACCCTCCTCAGGATACGGTTAATAATGTTCACATCCAAAGGCTTAAAATTTTTTTGGTACAGAACCTAATATTGGGATGGCCAAAAAGTTTGTTCTGGTCCTTCTGTAACATCTTATGGAAAAACTGGAACGAACTTTTTGGCCAGCCCAACATTATAGCAGTGATTCTTGCATATGATACTGTGTTACCCTGAGATCATTCATTGTCTCAAGGGCATGCTGCAGAAACTTCTTAAAAAATGTAAATCTGTTTTAGTTCATTAACTGATTCATTTATCTAGTGAAACGTCCACTTTTATGTAGTGTGAAAGGACAGTAATATCATGAGTGACCAGAATGGAGTAACCCTTTCTGTTTCAATGATAACTGAAAACTGCCAAGTTTAAGGCCAATGCCTTAAAGGGCATATGCCTAAGTAGAAGCACTCCCTCTCACAAGGTTTCCTTATTTTTTTTCTTAATGTAGTAAATTTAATCTAATATTTATTACCAAGTAATTGCTTATGGAAAGAAATTTAACTATTAAGTTGAAACTGGAAACAACACTAATGTTGCTCAAATGGGTGAAACGTGAAACAAACTGTGCTTCATCCACACCACGGAACACTACTCAGTAACAGAAAGAATGGGGTGTTGAGTGAAAAAAACCAATCTTAAAAGGCTACATACTACACAGTTTCATTTATATAACATTCCTGAAATGACAAAGTTATAGAAATGGAGCACACAGGATCTGTCTCTATTACTTCTAACTACTATATGTGCAACTACAATTATCTCCAAATTAAAACTTTATTTGAAAAAAAAATCACTATAATTTGGGTCACCTCAACCAAAAGCAGATTTAGGTGACATTCTCAGAAACTAGTTAATATACAAAGACTCCACGAGCAGAAGGGAAAAGAAGGACTAGAGAAAACAACAAAATAGCTACAGAAAAATAAGGTTAAAGAAAACAATAAAGTAACTTAGTTACTAAAGAATATCTAATGAACATGTACATATATTTAGGACATATTAAATTTCACTCAGTATTAATTCAAGATGGAAAGCTTACCCGATGCTTTGCCTTAATTTTCTTCCTATATTCTTCTTTGTCAAATTTGTCCTCTTCTTGAAGCCTTTCCTTTGCTTTATCTAAGTTGATACCACCAGCATCGTCCTCTTCCTCAGTATCCTTGGAGACAGACTTCTGCACTTGTGGCCACTGCTGAACCAACTGCAGAGAGGAAAAAGGTGAGTATGGGGTAGGAGACAAGGAATAGTAACAGAACACCACTTTCCTTTGTATAATGATACATACTTTCTGCTTTACAACCTACATTTCTTAAACTTTCTAACAAGCTTTATAATAAAAGTTAGCAAGTCACGGAAAAGACTTTCCCAGTCAGGATAAAGTAATGCTTCCGTAACTCATGAGAGCAGGATTAAAGGAAATTTTCATTAAATAATTTGGAGGACAAGGTAGTTGCTTCAACATCATTTCAGTGTTCTTAGTATGCTATACTCCACCAACTCAGCTCCAAATGACCCACACAGGGCGGTGGCCAGGCTGGCCACAGTGCATCCCCGCCACTGCCATGGCACCTTGGTGTACCTCCTGTAACACCTCTCTCACCACACTGGGTTGTTTTACTTTCCTGTAAATTAATCACTAATCTCCTTGAGGGCAGCCATATGCCTTATTCATGTGTCCTCAGAACCCAACACATTATCTGGCACACATGAGATGCTCAAAATTGATTGAGGAATCACATATCAGCTGATACCGCACATACAAACTGAAATAACTTAAGTGTAAAGGAGAAAGTTAGTTTGGGTTTCACAAGCCTGCTCAGATCTACATAATTTTACACAAACTTTTTATGTTAGGAACAAGGTGACAAAGAAGTCAGAGCACTGATCCGGGAGTCAGGAGACCTGTCTGAATGTCCTGGCTTTTTCACTAGCCCAGTGCATAATCCTGAATGAATTACTTAATCTCTGGACATCTGTGTCATTACCTGAAAAATAAGGGCTGTTTGACTTAATAATCTTCCCGGCCTAACACAGTAAAATTCTAGACAGTTTCGACAAAAACAATTTTCTTATTTTGCCTAATAACTGGTTGCCAGGAGGACTTAAGCAGCTGCCACAGTTTCTGAAAGACTGCTAATTAAACGGCAGGCAAATGGAAGTCGCAGGCACACACATCACAGGTATTAGTGCCTCCTCTCACTCCTGTCACCACCACATTCTTCAAGATGAGATTCCGACAGAGTTGCACCTTGAAGCAATGAACAAGGGTCACAAATGCATGAGTAGCCATGCTAGCAGTCACTGGCACTGAGGAAGCAGTGAAAGGGATGAGCTGTGACAGTAAGAACACCATCCACTGCTCTGACTCTTCACTCCTTTTTCTAGCAGAGTGAAAAACATTCATCCCTCTGTGGGTTGAACAAATGGTAGCATTTCTTTCAGAGTTTTAGATCAGAAGTTTCAGTGCAGCGGCTCCCAGCCACACAGAGCTCCTATCAGCAATAAGTTTACACTGAAACATTTTACAGTTAAGGATTTACACTCAACTTGAAGCTAATGGGTATAATATGTACAGTTAAATTTAGTAGCACAGTAAGGAACCTCATTATGCTAACAGCACTAATCTTTTACAGTGAGCATCGATGTAATACTACAACTAACTATTTTCTGGTCTAGCCTGTTTCTCAGGTGCTGACTGAACTCTTCTCAGTAATTTCACAAAGATTCATATTTTCCAACTATATAGGCTTCCTCTGCAACTTCAACACGCTGAATTACATTCTATTTTGTTAGTTTTCGTATGGTTTATACACCATTTTACTCCGTATTACTAGTGCAAATTTGGGCTACTAAAACAAAGCCCTCTTCCCTGAAGTAACATGCAAATCTTTGTTAACTTCAGAATTAAAAGGAAACACACTCCACTGAATATAGACTGTGCAGGAAGCATTTTTATTAATAATGATGAAACATCTGATGTGATACATTATAGTCAGTATAAAAAGCTCTGTTATTTTACTGGGGTATTAGAACAGACTTTTTCTGAGGGTTTACTATTTGTTAGGCACTATTCTAAGTGCAGAGGACAGAGTAGTAAACATAGCCAACAAATACCTTCCCTCATGTAGCTTTTCTCAACCCAGTGAAATAGAAATACCTTCCCTCATCCCACTGGAATGGAAGAAATGGACAACCACCAAATAAATACAGAATGTAAAGTCTCATAATCAGTGCTATGAAGAAAAACTAAACATAGGGCAAGGGAAATGAGATCATGGTGGGCATGGGGTGTTGAGTGCTATATCAGAATGAACAGGGAAACCCGTAGGTTGGTGAGAGTGAAACAGAGACAATATTCAGAAGATCCTGCCATAACCACTGACTCTAGCCATCACTCCTTAGGTGAGTCACTTGACATTCTAGATATATTTCCTCTTTAAAAAATGAAGATATTATTATCTAATAGAGTGATCTTTCATGAGCAATCTGTGAGTGGTAACCCCTTTCCTACTCTATTGGGATGTATTTACACTAAGACCAGACAATGGTGAAATGAAAACCAGGCACCTATATGTCCGAGGTTATTTTAAAGCAGGGAATTCCTTCCCACAGCAGGCCAGTAAGTAAAAAACATGCCAATATGGCATCTAAAATTGAGGAACCACAGAGAAGAGGCTTTCCAGAGTCAAGCAAAAGAAGCTGTGGCCAGTACTTGTATTATTATCCTTGAGCATGTTCCCATAGAGCATGTTCACAGTTGGACCCCATGACATGAAAGTCTTATCTATAAAAACAGGATTTGGAAAGTCCAAAACCAACTCTGTTGTTATTACCAGAAAGTATCCCAGCTTACTGTAAGAAAGTCATTCTTGCCTACAGATGCAGAGCTGACCAATTACCTACAGTAACAATGAAAGGAATTGCCCGAGTGCTTCAGAGAAACATTATTTTTCTTATTAAAGAATGGCAAGTCAGCAGGAGAGTCAAACTCTTTCTAATACTTGGAATGGAATGTACCTCAGAAATGAAACATTTACAGAATCTTACCTCTCCTTCATCAGTAAATGTTATTTTCTTATTTACTTTAAAATTTCTCTTCATTACTTTTTTTGCTTCTGCAACCTTGGTCACTTTTTTCTCCACACTGCATTTAGAAGGTTCTTTCTTCTGTGTGAGAATATACAAAAAAACACAGATGATTAGGTAAATGGCTGTTTTATATTAACAATTTAACACTGGCAATACACTTTCCAAAACTGAGTGTGTTTATTGCTCCTTGGGTAATGAGAAGCACCAAAACTGCTGTCCAGAAATAAAATTATTAGACTTATTAACTAATGACCCCCCCCAATGCTAAAGGGGTTTAAGTTTGAATGTGAATGTGAGACGTAAATAACCTTAAATTTCTTCTGTTACTAAAACTGTGCTATCCCGATAATGTTAAAGCATCAGAAACTACATAATAATGTGATAAATGGACATATAAGATAAAGCAAGCTATCGTCCAGCTAAAAACAGCACATTTTAAAAATAGCTCTAACTTCCAAGTACACACTTAAAATTTTAGACTAGGAAAATGTTTCCCTGGAAAGCAAAATGACTCCAATACACTGTTTGTGACTCAACAATCTTCCTCCCATTACAGTAATTCACTATATGAATACTGGAAAACATCCTATGATAACTAAGCTGTGTTCAAAGCTGAGATGGAGTAAGAGTTCTTGAACAGGAAGTTTGTCAACCAAAATAAGTTTCTCCCTGTAGTATACCTTGTGAACACAGGGCACTAATAAGACTTCCTTCCACCCAGTCATTCCTCCTATACCTCTTTTACCCTGCAAACACCACCAACACAACCACCAGGTTGGAGACTGTGTTACTGACTCCTACTAGATCTTCTTGGTTTTATGGCTAGGCTGATTCTTAAGGATCCTGGGTTAGCTGATACTCTGTCACCAACCCTCAGCTTATGATAGAGAAAATGCTGATCAAACAGTGCAAATCTGAGAGAATCATCATGATGTAAAAATAATTAAACAGGAGTAAGTTATCACTTAAATAAAGCACAAAAAATACTGAGGAGCAACAGGAGCAAACTTTCTGGGGGTGATGATAATGGTCTGCATCTCGATAGGAGTTTGAGTTACACAGGTGTATACACTTGTCAAAATTCATCAAATGTTACACTTAAAATTGGTGCATTTCATCGTATATAAATTTCTACCTCAAAGAAGAATCCTGTAAACAATACTGAACTTTAAGTTAATGCCAGGCAAGCTGAAGTATATGGAAGAAAGTGTAATGATGTTAACAACTTACTCAGAAATGCATTAAATAAAAAAAGGATAATGAATGGACTGATGGGAAATTACATGAGAAAGGAAATATGACAAAAAGTTAATTATAGAATATGAGTGATGGATATTTTGGTATCCAAAGTACAGTTTTTCAACTTTTCTGTACGTTTGAAATTTACTGTTATAAAATACAAAAGCCCAGTCCTAGGAACAAGAGAAACAGTCAAAATAGCAAAGAGACCAAAAACTGTCAGAATAAAATAATAGTCAGTCAGAAGAATCAATCCTGCAGAGTGAAACCTTGGAGTGATGTGGGTCTACATCAAGAGCTTTAGGGAAATCCATGATACTACAGAAATTATGTAACAAAATTTGGGGGTATTTGCATCACCGCAGTTTTATGATTATCATGGTTTCTAAAAGGGCTTTGTGATCTCCCCCTCCTCCTCACAAAAAAAAGGTTAAATTGTTTGCTTGTTTTAGGGAAGCCACTGAAAGAAGGAACATAAATGTCAACATGGGTGAGAAGACATGTTTATTGTAATTTCCTAATAGGCTGTGGCTTTGCTCTGATACTCTAGAATTAATCCTCACTCATTCAAATATGCACTGTTACCAAAACACAAGATATCATAGTACATACTGCCCCAGCAGTGAAAGACCCTCAATGAACCTAACTCTAACAATGGGGGGAAAAAACATTAAACATTAACTATTTAATCACAGATGTAGTAAGTGCTCAGACAAAATACAGAGGATGAATAAATCTTTAATAGGGTGCCTGCCCTAGCTAGTCTAGGGTGAGGAGAGGAAGTCAAAGAAAACTTCCTTTTGAGGGACAGATGTTTGAATGGAGTAGCAAAAGCCCAAACACTGCTGCATTACTGACACACTGGTGATGAACAAATAGTTTCTGTGTGTCCACTGATGGCGTATTTCACATATGGCTTATGAAAAAGTTTTAGTTCAATGTCATTCTTTTGAATATTAATTTTAGCAGGTAACACACGCTTATTTATTCTGTAAAGGATATTCAGTGCAAAAGCTGCATTTATGGGCTTCCCTGGTGGCGCAGTGGTTGAGAATCTGCCTACCAATGCAGGGGACACAGGTTCGAGCCCTGGTCTGGGAAGATCCCACATGCCGCGGAGCAGCTAGGCCCGTGAGCCACAACTACTGAGCCTGCGCATCTGGAGCCTGTGCTCCACAACAAGAGAAGCTGCAATAGTGAGAGGCCCGTGCACCGCGATGAAGAGTGGCCCCCGCTTGCCGCAACTAGAGAAAGCCCTCGCACAGAAACGAAGACCCAACACAGCCAAAAATAAATAAATAAAAATAAAGAATTATTCTAAAAAAAAAGCTGCATTTATGTCCTCTTCGGCTATCTCAGTTTATGCCCCAAGAAGCAAGCACTGCTACTTTTTCTGTACCCTTCCAGAGACATTCTACCCACATTCAGGTACACATGAAGAGCAACAAGTCACTAAAAGAGCCCTCCCTGCAATGAACAGTCTTGTATTTACACCTTCATACACATGTGTATTTATCTATCTAGGATACATTTCTAAAACTTAAAGCACTTGGTCAAAGAGTATGTGTATTTAAATTTTGAAAGATATTTCCAGAGAAGTTATACAAATTTATAACCCAATCAAAAATCTGAGAGTAACTGCTTCTCCTTATCTATTCAAACAAAGTATTGGTTTGGCCAAAAAGTTCTGTAAGATCTTAGGGAAAAACCCAAACTTACTTTTTGGCCAACCCAATATAATATTAGGCTTTATGTTTACCAGTCAACTAGGTGAAAAAATAGTATCTCAGGGAAGTTTTAATTTGCATTTGTATTTTAAACATAGCAGAACATCTCTGCAAAGGCATTTATTTTTCAGTGCACTGTATATATTCTTTGCCAGCATTTTTAATGAATTCCTGGAATTTCATTTATTAATTTGTGAAATTTCTTCATTGGTTAAAGATGCTTCAATATTTTCTCCCACTTCATCATTTATGTTTATACTTCTGCCATATAGGGTAATATTCTTTTGTTTTGCTTTGTTTTTGGCTTTCGTCAAGCATATATTTTTAATTTTTATAAAATTAATTTTTTTAAATAATAAAATTTTCTGGGTTTTCTAGGTTTGTGCCATACTTAATATTTTTCCAACTAAAAGACTTTTTAAAAATGAATTTAACTCCTTAAAATGCAGGTTTTACTTTCTTAAAAGTGTCAACACTGGCTCTTGAACAAGGGGGAAAGTACTCATTAATATTTTACATTTCCATACATTGTCACAAAAAAATATAAATTATACCTATTGCTAGGCAAGAGTTATATTTTGACTATAAGCCTTTATATTATTGGTATAAGAATGAAATTTGCAGCAGTCAGAAGGTATAATGAAAGATTTCCTGACAAGACATAAAACATCAAAATGCAATTTTCATTTCTATTTGCACTTCTTCCACAACATGTATGCTATACTTTAAAATAAAATGCCAAGGGCTTCCCTGGTGGCGCAGTGGTTGACAGTCCGCCTGCCGATGCAGGGAACACGGGTTCATGCCCCGGTCCGAGAGGATCCTACATACCGCGGACCGGCTGGGCCCATGAGCCATGGCCGCTGAGCCTGCGCATCCGGAGCCTGTGCTCCGCAACGGGAGAGGCCACAACAGTGAGAGGTCTGCGTACCGCAAAAAAAATAAATAAATAAAACAAAATAAAATAAAATGCCAAGAGGAAAAATGTCATAAAATACAAAGCTGATAAAGCATCAAGTCATTCTCGATAGTGATAGCTGTAGCAGGTTGCCATGAATAACTTGGAAGATAAAAGAACAATGAAAACAGTTACAAACACAATAACAGTTCCTATCAAAAGGGCCATATTAGTTAATATTGGCTACAAGAAGATTCAAAATACAATCAATGAAAAAAACCTACCTTAGTATAAACATTACTAGATATCATAGAGCATAAAAGTATTATTGCAAAACGATGAAAAACAAAACCATAAGGAGATGAAAGTTAAAATTAAAGGGAAAGACACTCCAAAGAAATCAGATTTTTATCTTTCCCTAAAGTAGCTCCATGTGTGTCACTGAATAATTATTAGTTTATAATAGAAACTGTATCTAAAAGTGAAGAAAACCAACAAAATAAAGAACTATCAATCCTGGTAGGAACCTTAGAGGATACCTATTATGCCCTCATGCTAAAGATAAGGGCCTTTTGTAACATTTATAAACACTGTTGCCCCAAAGTCCAAGTGTACTTAACTTGAGATATTTCTGCTGCCTAAATAACCAAACCCTACTAGAACTTGTTTATTACTTTTTTCTAAAAAAAAGCAAAACTGCCTGCCATGTAAACTTAATCCTTAATCATTCTATATTTGCTGAACTACAATGATTCACTAATTTTACAGTATAAAATAAGGATGTACTTATTTGACAATCTATTTTAAAGCTATCTAAACTTCTCTGATGATGAGTGATGTTGAGCACATTTTCATGTACTTATTGCCTATTTGTATATCTTCTTTGGAAAAAAGTCTATTCAGGTTGTTTGCCCATTTAAAAATATGATTATTTGGTTTTTTGTTTTTAAGTTGTATGAGTTCCTTATATATCTAAGATATTAACCCTTTATCAGATACATCATCTGTAAATATTTTCTCCCATTCTATAGATTGCCTTTTTAACTTGTTTCCTTTGCTGTGTAAAGCTTTTTAGTTTGATGCAGTCCCTTTGCTTATTTCAGCTTTTGTTGCCTATGCTTTTGGCATCTTAACCAAAAGATCATTGCTAAGAATATTCTATTCAAATTACAAGACCCCAACCCTACCTCCTTTCTGATGAGAATCATAGCTGT